CAACGTGCCCCCCCCCCCAATGGCACAGCGGTATGTCTGCTGACTTACAACGCTATAACCCGGGTTTCGATACCCGTCGTGGGCCGAACGGGTATCGCCCATTGTGTAGCTTTGTGCTTAACTACAAAAAAAAAAAAAAAACAGACCAAAAAAACGTGGAATAGTCAACTGAAAGTGACTTTTAAGATCCTTGATAACTATAAAGATTTAGGATTTATGATAAATATTTAGGGGTAAGTTTTTAATAATTCACATGAGAAAAACTTTGATGTTGAACAGTCATCCAGTTGGCTCCGTCTGAAAGTTTTGTGCAGTTGTTCTAATTTTATAAAAATATTAAGTTACCTCAACTCCTAAAGTGTTAGAAATGGTTGTAACTGGTACAAATGAGAAAACTGCTTAGCAAATGAAAGAAATGTATAAAACGTTTTGTGTTAGTGAGTTGTATGTTTGTTAAAAGCTGGTAATATTTATTCAAACCGTAGACTTTATAAAAAAATAAATTACATTTTTAAAAGAACAATTCTTTTGTGGCTGGGTAAAGAAACAAAACACGCAGTTATGCCTAGTATTTTTATGATATTAAACACGCAGTCGTGCCTAGTATTCTTATGATATTAAACACGCAGTTATGCCTAGTATTCCTATGATATTAAACACGCAGTCGTGCCTAGTATTCTTATGGATGTTAAATTTTCACGTGTACTTTTATTATTCGTTTCACTTTCAATAAATGTGCGAAAATATTCAAAACACCATCATTTTATTGCACGTGGTCTTGCGGTTAGCATTCTGGACTGGGGATCGAAAGGTTGAAGATTCAAGATGCGATATGTGACTGAATTTGTTCCAGATATTCAGCTGTACGTGTGGGGTGAGGTGGGAAATATTGCTACCTGGTTGCCCGTTTTCTATCAGTAGTTCTAAACCAGGAAGATTTGTGGTTTAGTGTCTCTGACCTGGACTTTTAACCCATGTGTTGCATAACGCGCCTTTCAGGTTGAAAATATCACGCATAATTAAATATTTAATAAAATCAAAGTATCAGCATTTTTACATTTTTCACAATTTTACAACGTTTTTCATTTAGAAACTATATTATAAATGTATATTTTATTACAATTTTATTTACTGTACTTTTAACATTACTGAATAAGTTCTATCCCTCCAGTAAAATAAACGCATTTGATAAAAAAAAACAACCGTATTTACCAATTCTCCATTAGAGTTAAGTGAAAGTAAGCGAAACGATAATCTCTTACATAAAATTCATTGTCGACTAAAGCGAATTTCGCAACGTTTTATATCTTCTATATGAAAGTAAGCCAGTCTTAAGGATAGTTTAAACAATGAGGATTTAGTGACGTGATGAGCTTGAAAGGGGCAAAACTGAGCATCACAGCAAAATAAAACAAAATTTTAAATTCAAAAATGAATTTTTCTCATGTGATTTAAGAACCGTAACATACAGAACATCTTATCTTATAATCAGTGTTATTGGTTGTATGTTTTGGACGACTATACATGGCCAGTTAATAATTGTCTTTGTGATTGGTCATCAATAGAAAACTGTAGGTTAAAACAGTCAACAGTTGTTTCTATGTGTAAGGTAGTGATCGTTGTATTGATTTACTTTAGTTTATGATAATTTATCTTTGTTTGAGTTAAGCATTTCTACTGTTAATTTTAGCAGTAAATGAATTTACAAGTTTACGTAAGATAAACTACAATAATACTTTCATATCTGTGTCATCTTACATTTGGCCACAAAGCTTTAATCGTTATCTAGTAACTAAAAACATTAATTTTTGATTTGTATTAGCGTATACTTTTAATGCACGCATTTTCTCATCCAATAAACTTTAGAGAAACAGTTAATCGAATGGTAATTCTTTGGAATTCTACTATTTTTCTAAAGCGCTAAGAAATGCAGATTGTAGCCGTGATAATGGGTTGTTAGTTTTTTCTTGTTTCTATTACTTCAAGTCCTCATATATGTGCTATAATGAATGCAGTACTTCTAACCTAGGATAATCCGATGAGTAATTTATTCGACCATTGGGTATAAATTCGGTCAAAATATGGGCTTAATGAGTTGGCCCGTATCACTTGCATATGTGGTTGTTTCAATGTTTTCCTGGTTTACCCAATCTATACCTTTATATCTCGTTACTATGGTAACTAACAGTGGAAAGTGTAGCAAGTACTTTTGCGCAGATGAATATTGCGAAACGTATCGCACAAATGCGTCTCGCGCAGTCGATAGTGAGAGCAGCACAACGAGATTTACCAGTACGTATTACGCATCACAACAAAGAACATCTGGAGCAGAGGCTCACAACCATAGCATTGGTTACTGTTCTGTATGATTGCAGGATTGAGGTAGGCATCCTAGATCTGCTTACTGCTTTCGCTGTTCGTTTTTTTTTTGTATTTATTTCTCGAAATATAGAACAACTTAACTAGGACTCATAGATAATTAAATATTAGCTAAAAATAATCACTATTATTATTTTCTTCTTATCTCCTCCTCCTTAAATTATATATTTATAGAATTCAAATGTAATGTTTAATATCTAATGTCGCCAATTTCTGAAGTTTAAATTCAGTCACCATTTTATGATGTGGTTGAAATACAAATGTACTCATGTATTTTGTAAACTGATTGTAGAAGGAAGCAAAAAAAGAGTCAAGATGAAATAGTTCCTGTTTATTCTGCTAAGAAAAATATTGCCTGTTTTTTACCTGACAAAATTTTTATAAGTTGGCTTTTCCTAGTCGCTCTTCAAGAAGTTATTACAAAATGTTACTACTAAGTTTAAAAACGTCTCATGTAAAATGGACATCAACACAAGCTTTTGAATTATGAAGAAATAAGAAGAATTCTATCGTTTCAGAATACCATTTATCTGCGATATACGGTCAAAGTAAAAAATACCTGTCCAACCGTTTTCGTTTGCTTTTACTTATGATACTCAAATGAGCCCTGATTTACGTATTGCAATATATTATAATGTACTGTTCTGAGAACGAAATAGTTTTAAATGGATATAGTGTTAGAAGAGTAGAATTAAATAACAGAATTCTTTATATTTTTATATACTGTTAACAGTATTCAGATTGAAAAAAAATACAATCAGATAGATGTGTCTATGTTTAAAAGCTATCGAACAGGTTCCAATTAATATCTATGGGAGTTTGAGTCTGTTTTACTTCAACAGATTCCAGTTAAGTTTTAGATTGGTCCAAGGGTATCATCAACGATTCCAGTTTAATTGGTCCGGGGGGAATCACCAACGATTCAAGTGTAATTAGACCAGGGGTATCACCAACGATTCCAGTACAATTGGTCCAGGGTATCCACCAACCATTCCAGTGTAACTGGTCCAGGAGTATCAGCAATGGTTCAAGTGTAATTGATCCAGGGGTATCACCAACGATTCAAGTGTAATAAGACCAGGGATATCACCAACGATTCCAGTGTAATTGGTCCAGGGGTATCACCAACGATTCCAGTACAATTGGTCTAGGGGTATCCACCAACCATTCCAGTGTAATTGGTCCAGGGGTATCACCAACCATTCCAGTACAATTGGTCCAGGGGTATCCACCAACCATTCCAGTATAATTGGTCCAGGGGTATCACCAACGATTCAAGTGTAATTGGTCCAGGGGTATCACCAATGATTCAAGTGTAATTGGTCCAGGGTATCACCAACGATTCAAGTGTAATTGGTCCAGGGGTATCACCAATGATTCAAGTGTAATTGGTCCAGGGGTATCCACCAACCATTCCAGTGTAATTAGACCAGGGGTATCACCAACGATTCAAGTGTAATTGGTCCAGGGGTATCACCAACGATTCCAGTGTACTTGGTCCAGGGGTATCCACCAACCATTCCAGTGTAATTAGACCAGGGGTATCACCAACGATTCAAGTGTAATTGGTCCA